CCAAAAAAAGGTAAAATAAGATTGGCAGCACTTGGATGTGAGTGTTCCAGAGTTCCTGTGAGATAGGAAAGATAGAAGACACAGCAGTGTGGTTGTTTTACTTTGGAAATAAGGATCTCTACCAAAAGAAGGCCACCCACTTTGTAAAATCATGAGCTTTCAAGTCCTTATTCAAGGGTGGAAAACTGTTACCTGGAAATAAAATACTGACACCAATTTCATTGTGCTGTGACATTTAAAATCTCTGTCCCATTTGATGTTCTTTATTTTAAAGTTTTCCTGCACTTAACATTGGATTTTAATGATCATCAGCAGCAAAACAGCCCTTTTGTAGCCATAACCTTTGTTAGAAGGTTAGATCATCCTGTTTTCACTTCTTTGGATTTTGTAACAGTAATTTTTGTACAGCCGCCCAGTGTGGAGGACCAGGTCATTGTATTTATGTCCCCCAGTGACAGAGTGGCCCAGTTATATACATACCCCCAGGCACTATATTTCCTTTTCATTGGCTAGAACTCTCAGGGGTATGGCGGAGGTATTCTAACCTGCCTCCACACAGAGATTTTACTGATCAGAAGTTGATAGTCTCAGTCTTAATTTACCTTCATTAAAGATTTTCCTCAGTTAAGTGCCCAAATCCACTGTTCCCAAAAGATACCAGAAATGTGGTTGTTGTTCACTGATTAAATACAGTTTCTGTCAGAAGTTTGTAATATATACTATCTGAGAATTTTTTTCTGGATGGACTGGGATAAACTACAAAAGAATCTGATTATACAAGGGTTGGGTCAAAGGTAATGGCAACAATGCTGTAACATGAAAGCTGTAAATCAGATGGCACTAGCACCATCTGTAGCTGATAGCAGAAGTTCAGTTGAAGTAGTGCAGTGAGTGGCTCTGGTTGTGTTTTATTGAGTTGCATTGTGCATCGTCTTGAAGTGCAGGAACCCAGTTCACGCACCCTAACAACATGTTTACAAAACAAGAACAACGCTTCTAGATAAAAATTGAAGTTGCACAAGGTCGTAGTGCACAAAACTTATCAGGGACTGCGAGAAGCATGTGGTGATGCTGCTTTGCCATATCGCACAGTGGCATGATGGGTGAAATTGTTCTATGAAGGGAGGGATGCCATTCAGGACAGCTGTTGTTCACACGAGTCAGTGTTGACAACCACACAGTTCAGCTTCTTGCTTCTTTGCTGAATGTTGATCGTCGATGGGCTGCATGGGAGTTAGCTGCTGAGGTAGGCGTATGTCACAAAACTGTGCTCCACATTCTGCATGGTATTCTTGGATACCACAAAATTGCAGCGCGTTGAGTACCCCATACAATGTCCAAGGTGCAACAATGGCTACGTTATGCAATTGCACAGGACTTGTTGGACTGGTACCAAAGAGAAGGTGACGACTTCCTTGGAAGAATCGTCACTCTGGACAAAACTTGGGCTTGCTCATACAAACCGCACTTGAAGCGACAATCAAATGAATGGAAGCATCCTGGCTCCCCTTGTCCAAAGAAAGTGTGCCCTGCACAGAGTGGTGTGAAGGCAGTGTTCATTGTGGCATATGACATTGATGGAGTGATACTGCACCACACTGTACCTCAACAACAGACTACTGCAATTTGCTGCATAATCATCTTCATCCAGCACTCAGGAGAAAGCAAGGACACTTGTTGGCAACGAACCCCATCATCCTTCATGACAATGCAAGGGCTCATACTGTTGCCACTGGCGATGGGAGATGCTGCAACATCTGCCATACTCACCCGATGCGAGTCTGCAATTATGATCTCTTTGCCAAAATGAAAGAACCACTGCGAGGGACACGTTACAACACAAGAGAGGAGATTATTCGTGCTGTAAGGTGGTCACTGCTGGACATCAACAGAAATGGACGCACTGATGGTGTACAACACCTTTCACAAATATGGCAGAAGGTGGTACACATGGGGGGAGTGTGTTTACCTCGTGTAATAAAGTCATTTCAGAACTATAGATGTGTTGCCACTTCATTTTATCTGCCCTTTGGATCTCATCATTTGGGTGTGACATTTTTAGAGTATGCTGAGGTTAGTCTCTGAAGGAAAATTGTTCCCTTTGTATCTTTGTCAGAGACATGCAGTAGCATAGTTGGTTGAGGCACAGTGCTACAGGCCGGAAGGTCATGGGTTCAGTTCCCAATGAGAACATTGGAATTTTCCATCGACCTAATCCTTCCACCCACACTATGGCCCAGGGGTCAACTCAACCTCTAATAGAAATGAGTACCAGGAATCTTCCTGGGAGTAAAGGGTAGCTGGCACACAAGGACAAAAACCTCACCGCGCTGTCTGTGAGCTGATTGTCTAGAAAATGTGGGAGCCTCGATGTCTCACAACCCTGTGGGCCTCCATGTCCTCTTGCAGGGATAGCTTTACCTTGTATCTTCATCCTTCACACTTGCCCTTTCCCACTCTTTCATTTCTCCAACCTATCATCCTGACTTGTTTCATCACTCCTTCCCCTTTATGTAAAAGCATTAGGTAGGCATCACTCAGCCACCATGTTATATGGTATGTTATTTAGAACTCATGTGTGACTTATAGTTCCTCATACAGATGTAAGTTAGGTGCAGTTGTTCCCTGCAATGTAGAAAGTAATTATAGTACTATTATATGAGTTGCAGTCCTGCAAAAAACCTTGTAGACATGCATATATAGCACACTGGCTTTGTTAGGTGCAAGTAGTAAACCATGTAAGAAATGCAGCCATGAATTTTGTTGTTTGTTGTATAAGAGGAAGTATCAGTATTGTGTCATGTGCTGTAATATAGCTGTGTGTTCTGCTTTTCAGGTGTCACATCGGAAGGGCTTGCCACATGTGATTTATTGTCGAGTTTGGAGGTGGCCAGATCTGCAGTCTCATCATGAGCTGAAACCAATGGAGAACTGTCGCTTTCCATTCTCTGCAAAGCAGAAGGAAGTATGCATCAATCCATACCACTACAAGCGTGTTGAGAGTCCAGGTATATTTCATCTTTATATATGTAATGTTTCTCTATTGTAAGGCTTCCAACATCGTAATTTTCCTGTAAAGGTTTATGGTAGGAAGCCTGCCACCATCTACAAACACACCATCATGTTATTACTGTGCTGGCTTAGTGTAATGTCTTTGCTCTTTATATTCTTTGTAGTGCCCATATAGGAATAATCAATCACAGGAGTTAAGTGTGTTTCTTATTTTTCGTACAGTGGTTTGTGACTGTCAGAAGTGATGTTAGAAATAAAAGGAAAAGGAAGCAGTACAGTGTAATTTCTAAGCACCATGGTATCCAGTCATCCTGAATTCCAGTTCTTGTCACATGTACATTAAAGTTTAATACCCCCCCCCCCACATTTGTCAGTAGTTTATATTGCTGTACTCACAGCAGCTGCAGGTATTCCGTTGAAGAAATATGACTTCATTCCAGTTACCTTTCTGCATTTTATCTGCAGAGTAATCTGTGTCCAGAGATGCAAACGGGGGATCTGTTTTCTCTCTAGAATATTTTGCTCTTGGGCATGTCTGTGGCAAATACATTATAGTGATGTTTCCAGGCTTTAGTACAGGTCGTTTTATGTGGTAACATTCTCGGTATATATATATGTATAAGGTGGTGTTGGCCAACATCACCAGTTTGTTATAGCTTTTCCTCTGTAAAAAGTGCAACATATATTACCATATCTCAGTCCCCAGAACCTTGTGTGGAAATAGGTTGGACCACTTGTAGGTAAAGTTGGGAATTGGATAGGAGAGGTTATAGGTCACATCTTTATCCCTTGAAAATGAAGCCTCAAGATATAAGTAGAGCAGAAGGATATTGCCCCAGGGAGTAATCACAAGTACCACCATTTTTAATGCGATGTTCAGTGACCTACCAGCACAATTAGGTGAATTCAAGAATGTTAAGTTAATACTATTCACAGATGACCTTGTAATTTGGACATCACTAGCAAAACATCAGGATCATCGGCTCTCAAATTAAGTATCCTTACCTGCTGTTGGTGTTATGAAAATGCCATGACAATAAATACAAAGAAACATTCTAACAGATCTTTGAGCGGCCTCCGTAGTCTAGGGGTAACGTTCCCACCTCATGACTCAAGGTACGCGGGTTCAAACCCGGCGGAGGTCGTGGAATTTTTAAGGGTGGGAAAATTCAGGGAACAAGTCCTCTGGGAGGGACTTTAAGTCGGGGTCCCGTGTCATAGATTTACGGCACATAAAAGATCCTTGTGTCTCTAGGAGACCTCTGAGCAAAATTAGGCAAAAGTTTCCCGCCCAAGTAGTTTCCAATGCCTCCAGTAGATGGAGAAGTATCAGGAACCACTGCCAGCTTCGCTGGCTGAACAGGGCTGATAGCAAGCATCAGTACCGGCAGGGTATGGCGACTGGTAGAATATCAGAGGGAGACGTACAATAGACTATTAGTCACGGTGCATGGGGAAACCCACCCCCTCCAATAATAATAATAATAATAATAATAAACAGATCTCTGTCGTGAGCCACCAGCAACCGAAAATCAGCAACAGCCCTATTGTGAAAACACGAGATGTTAATGTAGATGTCAAATTTACATGGAGAAGACTGTTCGGGTGAGAGGAAAAAAGAAACTGTTCTGAAAAAGCTTGCAGGAAGCAAATGGAGAAGTTCAAGATCTGTGTTGAATGCTGTATGTAAAGCATATGTGAGACTTGTCCTGGCAGTAGGGCTGTGAAGCATTAATAACTGTAGCACCAGCCAACCTGAACAAATTAGAAGTGGGGCAGAATCAAACTGTAGATCAACTCCTAGCCCCCTGCTCTCACTACGTGGTGTGTTCAAAAAGTATTGAACCTTTTTTCCCGTGTAAACCAATGAAGCGTGGGAGGCTCCCTTCGGTGGAAATGTGGAGGGGACATTCATGTGCAGTCGTGAATTTTTTCCCGCCCGCAGAAAGCGTCAGTCTCTGGCAGTCGGCCTATGAGTGAGGACGTGTAGTGAGCGCTCGTCGGATTCCAGTAAGGTGTAAAATGACGGAACAATATGAGCAGCAGTATTGCATCAAATTTTGCCAAATGCTTGGCGATACCCAAGTGAACCATTGCAAGATTCAACAGGCTTTCGGGGACGATGCCATGAGCAACTCACGGATAAAGGAGTGGTACAACCACTTCAGAGATGACCACACATCAGTGGACAGCGAACTGCGTTCAGGCAGACCCTCAACAAGCCAAAATGAGAATGTCATTGAGTGAGTGCAGACTTTGGTCATGGAGGACCGTCCTATCACAGTCCAAGAACTTGCGAACGAGATAGGGGTAAGCATTGGATCGGTACATTCAATTTTGACCAAGGATTTGGGCATGAGGAGAGTGTCCACGAAATTCGTACCAAAACTGCTAACAATGGACTAGAAGCAATGCCGTCTGGAAATCGCACAGGACATGCTGGACAATGCAAACAGTAACACCAACTTTCTGAACACCATGATCACAGGCAGTGAGTCGTGGGTTTATGGGTATGACCTGGAAACCAAGATGCAGTCGTCACAGTGGAAACATCCGACATCCCTGAGGCCAAAAAATCACAGCAGGTCCACAGCAATGTCAAGGTCATTTTGGCTGTTTTCTTCGACTCCCGCGCGGTTGTGCGTCATGAGTACGCACCACAAGGCCAAACCATCACAAAGGAATACTACCAGGAGGTCCTTTATCGCCTTCGTGATGCTGTGCGGCGCAAACAACCGGATCTGTGGGCAGCAAGAACTTGGCAGCTCCATCATGATAATGCACCCGCCCATTCTGCGCATCCGATTCAGACTTTCGTCGCCAAACACAACATCCCTGTGGTTCGTCAGGCTCCCTACTCTCGCGATATGGCTCCATGTGACTTTTGGCTATTTCCCAAGCTGAAAATGCTGCTGAAAGGAACCTGATTTGAGTCGAGAAGANATCGCCTTCGTGATGCTGTGCGGCGCAAACAACCGGATCTGTGGGCAGCAAGAACTTGGCAGCTCCATCATGATAATGCACCCGCCCATTCTGCGCATCCGATTCAGACTTTCGTCGCCAAACACAACATCCCTGTGGTTCGTCAGGCTCCCTACTCTCGCGATATGGCTCCATGTGACTTTTGGCTATTTCCCAAGCTGAAAATGCTGCTGAAAGGAACCTGATTTGAGTCGAGAAGATGCGGAATGCGACGGCCCGGCTGATCACCATTCCAAAAGACTCATTCCAGAAGTGTTTCCAACAATGGCGGAAGCACTGGGAGAAGTGTGTGCATTACCAGGGAGACTGCTTTGAAGGGGATTGTGGTTTTGTACCTCCAAATCAATAAATGTATTTCTGCCAACCAAAGGTTCGATACTTTTTTGAACACACCATGTATCATCATCATCAGTAATCTGTCAAGACGACAGGTCCACAGTCTCTTTCAAAACAATTCCTCCGCCTAATGCGATCTAGAGCTTTCTCCTTCAAATGACAGTATCCTCTTCTGTCCCCAAGGTCATCCAGCATCTTCTTANGGGAGACTGCTTTGAAGGGGATTGTGGTTTTGTACCTCCAAATCAATAAATGTATTTCTGCCAACCAAAGGTTCGATACTTTTTTGAACACACCATGTATCATCATCATCAGTAATCTGTCAAGACGACAGGTCCACAGTCTCTTCCAAAACAATTCCTCCACCTAATGCGATCTAGAGCTTTCTCCTTCAAATGACAGTATCCTCTTCTGTCCCCAAGGTCATCCAGCATCTTCTTACGTCTTCTTGTCACTTCTATCCGCCCATCTATCTTTCCTTCGATAGCTTCTTTTAGAAGGCAGTTTCTGCGTAAAACATGACCAATCCAATTAGCCTTCCGTTTTCTTATTTCATGTAGGATATTCCTCTGCTCACTGACTCTAATTAACACTTCTTCATTTCTCACATAATCGGTCCAACTGATCTTCTCCATTCTTCTCCAACACCACATTTCGAAACTTTCCAGATGTTTCTGATCTACTGCCCTAAGTGTCCATGTTTCAGCCCCATACAGAGCTATGCTCCAAATGTAGCATTTCACTAGTTTCTTCCTCAAATTTAAGTCCAATTTGCTGGTAAAAAGATTCTTCTTCTTGCTAAATGCAGCTTTTGCCATGGCAATCCTGGATTTAATTTCACAAGTACACCTTCCATCATCTGTTAACAAGCTACCCAAATATTTAAAACATTTCACATTCTCCACTTGTTTTTGGTCTATCTTTATTGTGACTGGGGTTGGTTGTCTCGAAATTTTCATTACTTTTGTTTTCTCCACATTCATTTCCATGCCATAGCACCTTCCAATTTCAATTAGTCTATCAATCATGCCCTGTAGCACAGTTTCTTCCTTAGCCATTAACACAAGGTCATCTGCATATTTCACAGTTTGAATAATTTGCCCTCCTACTTTGAAGTCACCGAGCCCATCCAGAGCTTCCTTGGTAAGGCATTCGCTGTACAAGTTGAACAGAATTGGTGATAAACAGCATCCTTGTCGAACTCCTCTTCCAATCTGCACACTTCCTGTCTCCCCCCTGTCCAGTCGTACTCTAACTTTCTGATCCATGTACAATTTGCTAATCAATCTTCTTTCATGCCAATCGATACCTGTTTCTTTCAGGATCTGCATTAATTTGGTCCAGTTTACCCGGTCAAATGCCTTCTGCCAGTCTATGAAGCAAACACACAGTTCTTCATCTATCTCCAAAGTTCGTTCCGCTATAATTCTCATCATCCCAATTGCATCCCTGGTTCCTTTTCCTCTTCTAAATCCAAACTGATCTTCTCCAAGTACATCCTCTATTTTCCTTTCAATTCTTCTTTTAAGTATCTTTGCTATTATCTTTGCTGTATGTGCAATAAGACTTATTGTGCGATGGTCGCTGCATTTTGTAGCTTTTGTCTTTTTCTTTAAGGCAATCATTGTAACTTCTGTAAAGTCCTTGGGCCACTCTCCACTTTCATATATGGTGTTCA